AAGGCCACGGGCTTCCCCATCGCCAAGATGGCCGCCAAGCTCTCCGTGGGCTACACGCTCGACAAGATTCCGAATGATATCACCAAGAAGACGCCTGCCAGCTTCGAGCCCTGCATTGACTATGTCGTCACCAAGGTGAGCTCCCCTCCGCTCTCTCGCCCCCCCTCCTCTCACCCCTCCGCTCCTCCGCGCTGGCGTCCAAGGCCGTGTTTTGAGTCGACTCAAAACAGGCCACGGGCCTCCCCATCGCCAAGATGGCCGCCAAGCTGAGCGTGGGGTACACGCTCGACCGCATCCCCAATGACATCACCAAGAAGACCCCGGCCAGCTTCGAGCCGTCTATCGACTACGTGGTGACTAAGGTGAGCGGTGGATGGGGGTTGGTGGGCTGTGCTGAGGGAGAGGCTAGCATCCCCAGCTTTCTGTGGGGTACACGCCCGACCGCATTCCTAATGACATCACCAAGAAGACACCTGCCAGTTTTGAGCCGTCTATGAACTACGTGGTGACTAAGGTGAGTGACAATCTTGAGGCGCCTGAGCGCCTCAACAGCAGGCTTGCGCCGCTCTGCTCTCTTTCCCCCTCCTCTGCTCTCGCTCCCCGCTCCCCGCTTCCCACTCTTCTGTTCTGCTCTCGCCCCTTCCTATTTTCCCTCCCCTCAACCCCTACTCTCCCTTTCCCCCCACGCTCTCCCCCACACACCACCCTCTACCCCCACGTGCAGATCCCGCGCTTCGCCTTTGAGAAGTTCCCCGGGTCCGAGCCCATCCTCACCACCCAGATGAAGTCCGTGGGCGAAGCCATGGCCATCGGCCGCACCTTCCAGGAAAGCTTCCAGAAGGCGCTGCGCTCGCTCGAAACGGGCCACTGGGGGTGGGGGTGCGAGCCCTCTAAGCAGCTCGAATGGTCTCTGGACGACCTGAAATACTCGATGCGCGTGCCCAACCCCGACCGCATGTATGCGATTTACGCCGCTATGAAGCGCGGCATGAGCCAGCGGCAGGTGCAGCAGCTGACGAACATGGACCCGTGGTATCTCTCTCAGATGGGGGAGCTGCTAGAGGTGGAGGATTTCATGGGCAAGCTGGATGGGAACCTGCGTGCGCTCACCAAGGACGATATGCAGCAGATCAAGAGGCGGGGATACAGCGACAGGCAGATCGCCTTCGCGCTGAAGAGCACGGAGGAGGAGGTGAGGGGGTACAGGCTGGAGCTGGGCGTGGTGCCGGCGTTCAAACGCGTGGATACGTGCGCGGCGGAGTTTGAAGCCATGACTCCGTACCAGTATTCCTCGTATGATGAGGAGAACGAAGGGCAGCCAGACACAGAGCGCAAGGTGCTGATTCTCGGCGGCGGGCCGAACCGCATCGGGCAGGGGATTGAGTTTGACTACTGCTGCTGCCACGCGTCGTTCGCGCTGCAGGCCGCGGGATTCGAGACGATCATGATGAACAGCAACCCGGAAACCGTCTCTACCGACTATGACACCTCCAACCGGCTGTATTTCGAGCCGCTGACAGTGGAAGATGTGATCAACGTGATCAACCTGGAGCGCCCCGATGGGATTATCGTGCAGTTCGGAGGGCAGACGCCGCTCAAGCTCTCCGTGCCCATCCAGCAGTATTTGGAGAAGACTCAGCTGCAGGCGGCGAGCGGGGAGGGCCCGGTGCGTATCTGGGGGACGTCTCCGGACTCGATTGATGCAGCGGAGGATAGGAAGCGGTTTGAGGCGATGCTGAACGAGCTGGGGATCAACCAGCCGCCCGGGGGGATTGCAAGGAGCGAGGAGGATGCGCTGGCGGTGGCGAAGAGGGTGGGGTATCCCGTGGTGGTGCGGCCGTCGTATGTGCTGGGAGGGCGGGCGATGGAGATTGTGTATAACGATGCGGCGCTGCAGAAGTATTTGGTGACGGCTGTTGAGGTGGACCCTGAGAGGCCTGTGCTCGTCGACAAATATCTTGCGGTGAGTGGGTGGATGCTTGCATGTGCTGGTGCTGGTAGGGTCTGTGGCAGTGTGCAGAATACTTGGTAACGACGCGGCGCTGCAGAAGTATTTGGTGACGGCTGTTGAGGTGGACCCTGAGAGGCCTGTGCTTGTCGACAAATATCTTGCGGTGAGTGGGTTGATGCTTGCATGTGCTGGTGCTGGTAGGGTCTGTGGCAGTGTGCAGAATACTTGGTAACGACGCGGCGCTGCAGAAGTATCTGCTGGTGACGGCTGTTGAGGTGGACCCTGAACGGCCTGTGCTGGTTGTCAAGTACCTTGCGGTGAGTGAAGTGATGCGGTTGAGGTGAGGTGGACCCTCAGAGGCCGGTGCTGGTTAGTGGGTCAGCAAGTGCCTCGCGGCGAGTACGTTCTTTTCTGCATGACTTGGTGCTGGTGGGGTTGGTGCTGGTGGGGTTGGTGCTGGTGGGGTTGGTGCTGGTGCTGGGGTGATGGATGGTCCCCCATGCCTTAACCCTCCATTCCCTCCCCCTTCTACCCTCACACCATGCAGAACGCCACAGAGCTGGACGTCGACTGCTTGGCGGACAGCACGGGCGCGGTGACCATAGGAGGCATCATGGAGCATATCGAGCAGGCGGGCGTGCACTCGGGCGACTCTGCTTGCTCCCTGCCCACCCAGACCATCTCAGAGGAGGCTCTCACCACCATCCGCGACTGGACCACCCGCCTTGCTCGCAAGTGAGTGGGTTGCCATGTGATGGGACGGGGGGTGATGAGCTGGTTCAGTGAGTTGGCAGTGACTGGTCACTTGTGAGCCCATTCAGCAGTCGAAACGCACCTGCCTGTCATGGGGCAGCCTTGTGATGTCTGTCAGGTGTTGGCGCACACACCATGTGCTCTCATGCTATCGTCGAAGCCAACCCCCGCACCATGCACACACCACCACCTGCTCTCAACCCTCTCTCCCCCCACTCACCCCATGTCCCACAGGCTCAACGTGGTGGGCCTGATGAATTGCCAGTACGCAGTGATGCCAACGGGCGAGGTCTACATCATCGAAGCAAACCCGCGTGCCTCTCGCACGGTGCCCTTCGTGGCCAAGGCCATCGGCCACCCGCTCGCCAAATACGCCTCCCTGGTCATGGCCGGAAAGACCCTTGAAGAGATTGGCTTCGACAGGGAGGTCATCCCCAACCACGTGTCCGTGAAGGAAGCGGTTCTGCCGTTTGACAAGTTCCCCGGCTGCGACGTGCTGCTGGGGCCCGAGATGCGGTCTACTGGGGAGGTTATGGGGCTGGATGCCACGTTTGCGAAGGCGTTTTTGAAGGCGCAGGTGGCGGCGAATCAGAAGCTGCCAACTGGCGGGTCGGTGTTTGTGAGCCTGAACGATGTGAGCAAGGAGGGGGGCGTGGAGGTGGCGAAGAGCTTTGTGGATCTGGGGTTCAAGATACTGGCCACTGAGGGCACGGCCAATGTGCTGGAGGAGGGAGGGATCGAGGTGGAGCGGGTGCTCAAGCTGCACGAGGGCCGCCCCCATGCTGGTGAGTTCCTTGGCTGTCTGATCTTGAAGTGTGTATCGGGTATGCATGAGGGGGGCATGCAAGAGGGGCATGAACTTGTACTGTGCTGCACAGCACACTCTTGACCCCATGTGCTCATAACCATCCCTTCTCCGCGCCCCCCTTCCCCAGGCGATCTGGTGTCCAACGGGCAGATCCAGCTGCTGGTGATCACCTCAGCGGGCGACGCCCTCGACCAGAAGGACGGGCGGCTGCTGCGCCGCACAGCGCTGGGCAAGAAGGTGCCCATCATCACCACCATGGCCTCTGCACGCGCCACCGTCAAGGCTATCCGCGGGCTGATTGAATCGCCCATTGAGATGAAGGCTCTGCAGGATTATTATGTCGCTGGGAGCAAGGAGGCGATTGCTGATGCTGCTGCCACTGCTGCTGCTGCGGCGGCAGTGAGTCACTAAAAGGGTGTGGTGTGTGTGGGGAATATGGGTTTCGTGGAGATTTGCGAGGGTGGCTTGTGATAATCTCTAGGGATGAAAGGAGCAAGTATTCTGTTTGACAGTACAAGTTATTGGGCAGGGCCTGCGCCAGATGTTAGTTAATGTAATACAACCTGGCCCTTACCAAGAGATATATTGCTGTCCGATGGATGGATTCTGATGACAGAAGGAGTGCACTCTGGTGTTCTTTCATAGGTCCAATCTAAAGTACACAATCAGCACAGTGGTACCATAATTAGAAAAGTACGCTGCTGCAGCCACACTGCTGTGTATATATAAAATTGGAACCGTTACAGGCAAAAACAAAGCACACATGGTATTGAGCATGTTCCCCAATGACCTTGCTCTCTGATGTGAAAAAAAAAGGCCTGTTGGTCCAGCCTAAACATCAACAACAAAAATATCTGTTGCATCGAAAGCATATTTCCTGCTGCTGCATTGTGCAAAGTGGATGTGCAAGAAATTTGTTGGTGATGGAAGAAAATGGATGTCCAGAATATAGCAATATGCTAGTTTGTTAGTGTGATTTCCATCCATCCGCGTTATTCGTTGTGATGTCGCCAGACCGCACCGTTACCAGACCTGTTTTGGCGAGGATTTTTCCTGACGAAAACCACATCACCTGCGACATTTGATAACCATCGACAAACCCACCTGGCACTGGAGCGCACCTGACCAGCAGCAGATGTCCAATGAGCGACGCCACCGCGTCCTTACCGTGACAGCACTCCGACGACACGGGAAGACATCCCTCGCCTGGTTGGTGGAGATCCGAACCACACGAGTCTCCGCTAATGCCACGAGGACGGAGTTTGGTAGAGATTCCGAACCTGCTTTCCCACCAACCACCATTGCCGAGCCTGCGCTTCTTGCTGCATAATTATCGGAGAGTGATCCATCTGACTTCCACAATTTCTTACCTTCAGAAACCAGCAATTTCTGAAGGCATTTTTAGCGAAGTTCCAACATCTGTGAGCATCTCAATTGCAATCTCTTGGTAGTGATATCCGCATCTGACTGACTTTCCTGTGTCCAGCCATGGCTTCCGAAGCTCCTGTCAGGAAGGCTTTCATCACCGGTATTACTGGCCAAGATGGATCTTACCTTACAGAATTTCTGCTCTCCAAGGGCTACGAGGTCCACGGTATCATCCGTCGTTCTTCCAACTTCAACACCCAGCGTCTCGACCACATCTACCGCGATCCTCACGTGTCTTCGGCTAAGCTGAAGCTTCACTACGGTGACTTGTCCGACGCTACCGCTCTTCGTCACTGGCTTGACCAGATCAAGCCAGATGAGGTCTTCAACCTCGGTGCTCAGTCCCACGTCGGTGTCTCCTTTGAGAACCCCGAGTACACCGCCGATGTCGTCGGTACGGGAGCTCTTCGGTTGCTTGAGGCTGTTCGCAATCACATTGAGAATTCCGGACGTACCGTGAAGTACTACCAGGCTGGATCTTCAGAAATGTTCGGCGCTACCCCTCCTCCCCAAGACGAGAACACCCTCTTCCACCCCCGGTCTCCTTATGCCGTGTCCAAGGTGGCTGCTCACTGGTACACTGTGAACTACCGCGAGGCTTACGGCATGTTCGCCTGCAACGGTATTCTCTTCAACCACGAGAGCCCGAGGCGTGGTGAGAACTTCGTGACGAGGAAGATCACCCGCGCTGTCGGTCGCATCAAGGTTGGGCTTCAAAAGAAGCTGTACCTTGGCAACCTGAAGGCTTCCCGTGATTGGGGTTTTGCCGGCGACTACGTCAAGGTGAGACATTGTTCATTATATATTCCTTTTCGTTTCAATTTGAAGAACATATTTGTGGTGTAACCAGGTTTGAAACTACGTCTTCCTCTTCCCCTCATTTCACCGGTTTCCCCAATAACTGAGATCTCGAACAGCTGAGCAAACAATATCTAATGAAATGTGTGCCTATTGATGTTTTGCATTTTCTATTTACAGGGTATGTGGCTGATGCTCCAGCAGGAGCAGCCTGATGACTACGTGCTGGCCACTGAGGAGTCGTTCACTGTGGAGCAGTTCCTGATCGCAGCCTTCGGCTACGTTGACCTGGACTGGAAGGAGTACGTCGAGATTGATCCCCGCTACTTCCGCCCGTCCGAGGTGGACAACCTGCGCGGGTCCTCGGCCAAGGCCCGGGAAAAGCTTGGGTGGAAGCCCGAGGTGGACTTCAAGAAGCTGGTGGCGATGATGGTTGACTCGGATTTGGACAAGGCTAAGAGGGAGCAGGTTTTGGTTGAGAACGGCTTCTTGGACAGCAACTTCCAGCCCTAAGCTAGGATTGGGAATCTGGGATCTTAGGTTGGGTTATTTATGTGATATTTCACAATGGATAGTGTGACTAATTTGCACAGTTTCCCCTGTGCATTTGTAAAGCTTTTGTGAGCTTTCTCTTGAGCGTCTGTGATCTGCTGGTTGGAGCCTTTTGCGTGAGTGTGCACTGCTGGTTGGAGCCTGCCTCTTCCGCCCATACAGCTTCAGGCATCCCAAGGATGTGTGTCATGCAGTAGAACATGCAGGCAAAATGGCAACCGCTGAGAGAGACGAGTGGTGTGGGGCAAGCTGCAAGCATGAGAGACTAGAGACAGCAAGCACACCCACTGCCGGTCAGCCAGAGACCCCACGCTGGTGCCAAAGACCATGGAGGAGCCAAAGCCAGCGATGAAGAGACGGCCGATGTCGCCCTTGTCATACCCGTAGTGCTGGTACAGCACGTACACGTACGGTCCCTGCAGCCAATCGCCCGCTGCCACGTGACATGAGGGAGGGGCGTAGGGCAGGGCCTCAGATTGGTTTTTGAGTACCCTGAGCACTCAGTGTCCCTAGCCTAGCAACACTGATTTTCAGTTTAGTCCCTAGGAAAAACACTGATCTTTCAGGGTATAAAAAAAAAAAAAACGCTGAGCACACAGAGTGCCAAAAGATAAAACACTGATCAGCTATATCGATAACGAGAACTGTCAGAATCAAGAGACAGGAATGATAAACACGAAAGAGGGGTTTTCACTAGCATGCAGTAGAGTACATATAGCAAACCCTAATTCGGGCTGTACTCGCTACAGAGTACCCCACTGCAGGCTACACAAACATCACATTCTGACAAGAACCCTGCATGGGTTCCCTGAGCACACTGCAACCAGCACGACTTTGCCACACTTTGGACAGCCAATCATGTTGAAAGACCTAGCATGAGCCTAGAAACTTAGAAGCCATGGCTAGGTGAAGTTAGAGAGTAAAACGCTAGGTCGAGGAAGAAGGGGGTTTCACTAAAGGGCCAAAGGCCCAAGTTATATAAGAGACAAGCAAGGAGGGGGTGCACCACAAGCAAGACAGCAATATAACTACACTACAGCTAGAACTACATGCAGTTATACAGAAATATATTCTGACACACCCCCTAACTGCATGCAGGAATAGCCATGTGCATAACTCTCAAAGTTAGCGAACAACGGAATATGTGAACTAGGGAAACAAGGGATACAAATAGCAACCCTAAAAGTGTTGTACTCCCTATAGTGCTACTCACTGTAGCCTAAGAACCTATAATAACATTTGACACACCCCCATAGGCTAAGTGAGGGGCATCAAAGCAAGCAGGGTGAACAAACGGTCACAAGACCAGTCACTGCAAGAAGCAAAGCAAGCTCAGGGTGGATCTCAAGGACACCACACAAATTCCGAGCACAAGCAAGCGGCCACAAGGCCAGTTCAAGAGTTCACTAGGATATATATAGCAAAGCACAACAAGCAGAGCAAACAGCAAGTCTACAGCAACCGAGGGCCTACCTCAACAAGCCCCAACTGCACACAGAACCTGTGGTGGTCACCAAGCGCAAGGGCCTTGGTGAAGACGTCTGCAGTGTTGGCCTCTGAGGCCACAAAGTCCAGGCGTGCCTGGCCGCGTCGCTGCAGCTCTCGCAGAAGGAAGTACCTCACGTCAATATGCTTCACTCTGCTCTCCAGTCGAGGCTCTCGACACAGGAGGATCATGGCCTTGTTGTCAGCGTACAAGGTCGGTGCAGAGCGAGGCCGCTCACCAAGGTCGGCGAGCAAGAAGGTCAACCAGCGAAGCTCCTGTGCCGCCATGGCACCAGCGTAGATCTCTGCCTCTGCACTGGAAGTAGCCACAGACGACGACCGTGTAGACCTCCACGACACAGCACCAGCACCCAGACTGAAGCAGTAACCCTGTGTCGAGCGCTGAGTCTCCGCGTCGTCAGCGTAGGAAGAGTCGCAGTGACCAGTCAACGCCACTGGCTGAGTCCCTCCAAGCACAAGCCCCATGCCTGATGTAGTCGCCAGGTACTTCGCCACCCTCACAGCAGCTGCCCAGTGGACAGGACGGTGTCTCCCAGTCGCAACGAAGCGAGAGAGGACGCTGAGGGGAAAGGCGAGGTCCGGCCGAGTACAAGTCATCAGGTACATGAGGCAGCCCACCAGCTCTGCGTAGGGACCACTGGACTCAAAAGGCTCGTCGGGAAAGGGGCCAGTGAGTCTGTGGTCAACAGCAAGAGGTGTGGGCTGTGTGGTGGAGAACTGGAAGTCGAACCGCCGAAGGACCTGCTGCACCATGTGTGACTGAGTCAGTGTGATGGTGCGAGCGGCTCTGTCCCTGGTGATCTGCAGGCCAAGGTAGCGCTGCAGTTCACCTAGGTCAGTGCACGTGTGTCTCTTCTGGAGTTCGGACTTCACCTGAGCCAGAGCTGCCCTGTCTGCTGTGGCAAAGACCAAGTCGTCGACGTACACTAGTATAAAGAAAGGAGTGGAACCAGTGCGAACAAACAGCGACGGGTCGGCAGAGGAAGGACAAAACCCAAGGTCACGAAGCGTGGAGCGAAGAGTGTCGTGCCACTCACGGGGCGACTGGCGGAGACCGTAGACTGGCCGTCTCAGGCTCCACTGGGTCCCAGGTGGGAAGGTGTCAGTGAAGCCAGGAGGGCGGCGCAGCCAGATCTCCTCGTGTAGTCGGCCCTGGAGAAACGCAGTAGAGAAGTCAAGGGAGTGCAGCTCGTAGTCTCGCTGTGCTGCTACGTGCAGTAACACCCGAAGAGTAGTCATCTTCGGGGTCGGGGCGAAGGTCTGGAAGAAGTCAACTCCCTCACGCTGACTGAAACCCCTAGCCACGTAGCGCGCCTTGAACACAGGCGATGAACCAGGCGGCCGCTTCACCTTGAAGAGCCACATGCCATCGACTACGTTCGCCCTGGGAGGGGGAACTGCGTCGACGTAGGTGCCTGTGGATCTCCAAGACGCTAACTCCGAGGCCATAGCCGCTTTCCACTGTGAGGCCCACGCCCCTGACACTGCCTCGCGTTAAGTGCGAGGAGTCGGTATGTCAAGGGCGTCGGGGTCTCCCTCAGGGGATAGCAGCATGGCACAGACAGAGGGAGAAGCGGCTGCCCAGTACTCCAGCTCAGACTCTCTGTCCTCTAGGACGTCACAGCCAAGGGCAAACCCACCCCCGACGGACAGAGGACGGGAGGGAGGAGCTAGCACCACACGGGTAGTGTAGTCAAGGCGACTGGCGGCAGCAAACTCAGCGACAGCGGCAGTGAGAGCCGAGACAGACGACGGAGGGAAACGAGAGTCGGTGACAAGAGTGGCGAGGACACGAGAGACAACAGGACGAACAGTGCGGTAGTAGTCAGTGACAGGAGTAGGGGGGAAAGGGAGAGAGGACGGAGGCGGAGACGGGAGAACGGACTCAGGAGGAGGACGACGAAGAGACGAACAAAGGAGGGCAGTGCGGAGGTCGGTAACGGGAGACGAGTGACGAGCACGCGGAGAACAGGGACGGACACGAGAGTGCGGGACACCAGGTGGAGGAGACTGCGGTGGAGGAGAAGACCAGACCGCCGGACTGGCGTCAGGAGGAGGAAACGTGGGACCAAACGCTGGAGGGGACGGAGTGTGAACAGGAGGAGAGGAGGGAAGACCAAGGGCCCGAAGGCCACTCACGGGTGGGAACAACTGCCGCTCCAGAGGGAGCTGCTGTGGTCGCAGCTGCGGCGGCGGTGTCTGCTGCTGCTGCGGCTGCTGCTGCTGCTGCTGCTGCTGCGGCTGCTGCTGCTGCTGCTGCTGCTGCTGCTGCTCCAGCAGGTCCAACTGCCGCAACTCCTGCCGCTCCCTCTCCAACAGCACCTGCTCCTCACGCTCACGCCGACGGGCCGCCTGGAGACGTGTGTCGTGGCGGTGAGGAGGCGGAGTGGACTCCGCAGAACCAGTGTCTCCTGCTCCAGTCTCCTCAGAACCAGCACCTCCAGTGCCAGCGCCTCCAGCACCAGCACCCCCAGAACCAGCACCCCCAGGACCAACACCCCCAGAACCAGCACCTCCTGTGCCAGCACCTCCAGCTCCAGCACCCCCAGAACTAGTACCGCCAGTGCCGGGACCTCCAACTCCAACACCCCCAGAACTAGCACCTCCAGTGCCAGCACCTCCAGCTCCAGCACCCCCAGAGCTAGCGCCACCTGCGCCAGCCCCTCCTGCTCCAGCACCCCCAGGACTAGCACCTCCAGTGCCAGGACCTCCAGCTCCAGCACCCCCAGGGCTAGCGCCACCTGCGCCAGCACCTCCAACTCCAGCACCCCTCAAACGAGCACCCCCGGACCGAGTACCGCCAGTGGCAGCACCTCCAGCTCCAAAACCAACCGAGTCCACAGTAGCCTGTCGCGGAAGTACCGAAGGCTGCTGAGGGGACTGTGAGGAGGACTGCGGGGAGGGAGCCGCTACCTGACGCGCGGCCGAGGGTAGAGGGGTAGCGTGAGACACACCTGACGGGGCAGGACCAGGGGGGGGTGGGGGTACCGGAGGAGCGGGAGCAGGAGGAAGAGAGGGTGCGAGGAAAAGGGGGGGAAGGGGAACCGGGAGACCTCGACAGGGGTACCGGGTGTAGTAGGACACCGACTCGTCGAACCGGACGTCACGGGAGTCTAGGAACTGGTGGAGGGGCGGGTGGTAAAAGGACCAGTCGGCCGAGGCTACCGGGAAACCAAGGAAGACACAGGGGACGGCGCGAGCCGAGAGCTTGTCCGCAGAGGTGTCGCGGACAAGCGCAAGTCAGCCCCAGACACGAAAAGCTGACCCAACACCAGGGGACCCGGTCCAAAGACTGGTCGGTGAAGCCTCTGGCCGCGAGACGCGCGGCTGGAGGTTCAGCTGGTGAGCGGCGTAGCGAACCGCGTAGGGCCACAGAAAATGGGGCGCACGGGCATGAATCATGGACGTGCGGGCGATGTCCATGACCAAGCCAATGCGGCGCTCAGCAACCCCAT